AGAGGAGGAGACACCGCGCAAGGCGCAGCCGGCCACCGAGGTAGAAAAGAAAAGAAGAAATCGATGAAGCGCCCATTTCATCATTTCATCCCCCGGCCAACGAATACTTAGGAATCAGGGTGAACCACCCCGCCGGTCTGCCGGTCCGTCGGGCTGCCCGCCTGTCCGCTTGACGAGAGCTGCGCTTCTCCAGTGCAGTCCTCCCCACTTCACCCGCCGCGGCGACGCTGCAGCGATGGCCGCCGCCACGGCAAACACAGCCGCTTTTTGATAACTTGTTTCAATTTGAATGTGCGGCGGTAGTTTGCTAACAAGGCCCTGCCGTGCCGCCCCGGAGCCCCCCAACTCGCGCGCGTTGTTAATTTCGGGGACCAAAGTGTGTAATTTAGTCATGGAGCCGTCGCGAGAATAGCAGCTTGTCACGTTGCCCCCATTTACACACTCACGCACTCTCTCACACACAGAGCCAGGGTCGCGTAACGCAATAAGCGAAACGCGGCGATGCAGTACATTGCAGCCATTTTCATCAAACGGCTAAGAGGATGAGGCGAAATAAAGCCAATGACAATAACGCCGAGGCCCTCATTTCCATTTTCCCCTCATCAATTTTTTCCTCCCTCCCTCTCTGTCTCTCTCTCTTCGCTCCATCCCCGGCAGCCTCCTGCAGCCTCCGCGGCTACCAACCGAAAAGCCGCAGAGAAGTGGCCGGAGCGACCTCCATTACACGATTAAACTGGAAGGCAGATTAATTATCGAATTTCGCCTCGGCAGTGCTTTTTATCCCATTCCCTTTTTCCATTTGCGTGAAGACTGATCAAGCCGTTAGAAACACCAAACAGGCAACACGTGTTGCTTCCGTCACAACGGCCCCACTGCGCGCCCTGGTGGCGGCTGCAGAAACCTCGATGGCTGCGCTACTTGACCTTTAGCATCTCCAGGCGAGGTTGCATCGCGGCGTGGAGGGGGAGCCAGCAGGCCACCATTTCACGCCAAAAAGTGGCAACTGGAAACCCCATTAGAATACACACACACACATTCACATGCTCACAGCCCGTAACCAAACGAGCGCGGGGGGGCAGGCCGTGTAGCCCGTCCGTCCGCATGTGTGTGTATGTCAGTGTGTGTACGTGTGAGTGGCCTAGCAACCCTGAAAGTGTTTGTGTTGGTTTTCGGATTGCGTGTTGCACCGCACCTAACATTAGGACGTGGTAGTATGCTGTCCGTGTACGTCGGACTACGTCCGCATGGGAACGGTCAGAGGCCCAGGGTGGCTGAGTGGCGGCCAACACTCACACACACACACGGCCCTTGTACGCGCGCCATATCGCACAAAAAGTAAAACGCTGTTAAATCTACGCGGCCGCCGTCGCGTCGCGTCACTTAGTCCGGCCGTGCCGCGGCAAGGCCTTATCGGAGCGGCACCGCGTCACCTGGAGCTTTGAGCTGTGAAGGTGACTACAGCGCGATAATGTAATGCGCGGCCTAACCCGATGAGCAGGCAGCGTAAACAAATGACACCAACACACACACACACACACACACACACAAAGTCTCGTCGAATTTGCATGGTGACGCCTGGTGAACAATGCTTGTTCATGACACACTCCACTCACTCACTAGTATGCACCGCTGTTCTATCGCGGTTAATCGCATGGCGCTAGGCAAGGCGACGACGAGGACGACGTTCTTCGAAAAAAAAAGCCTCGGGTGATGACTTGATTAAGAAAAAGACGAGGAAGAACACCAGCCGAAAATGCGCTAGTGTCTGTTACGATGATGGTCCAAGGTCCCCACCACCCAAGCTCTCTCGCGCGCCAATGTTTTGCCTTGATAGCACTACTGTGCTTTTTTATTCCCCGACAAGGCTGCGAACAGCGCTGCCAACAGTCTCACACACACGCACGCTCGCGCACACACACACACACACGCACACACGTGCTACCTTGCTACTCGGCCGCCGCCGCCGCGTCGCGGGTTCAGAAAAATGCCATGAAACAGGAAACGGGAGCGCCCCCCCGCCACCCTCATATCCGGAAAAAGTTGTGAAACTAGTCTTTGCATAATAAGGCAGGCTACACATGTACGGCGCGCGCGCGCCGCCAATGCGCATTAAAACCTTGTTTTCTGGCGTTATTTTCAAACCGATTAATCCCTGTTGTTGGTGGACAAACACACGCACACACACACACACGGAGAGTGCCACCGTCGCCTGGGCCTAAAATTATATACCCGGGTCTTGTAAGCCCGACGTAATTAGGGTCCTGGCTCGAGGCACCTGCCCTGCTGCCGCCGCTGCTGCAGCGCTCCTAATTAATAACAAGGGTATTTTCCCCTTTTAGGTGAACAGGCTAATCCACCCACGCGGCCGGGCCGTGGCCGGGCCGTAGCCGGGCCCCATTCACGCCGCCACTTTGCGGCGCGGTATGAGAAATTCGCCGGTCGCCGATCGGGAGGCCATAATGAACGCGTTTCTCCGCGCACGCGGGCACGCACGCGGGCACGCACGGGTCGTAAAGAAGTGGAGTTTGATTCTCGTCTGGGAATCGCGGCGGGCCAGGCGGGCCGAGGCGGGCCGAGGCGGTGTGCCATTGCTAATTGCTCGAGTTTTACTGCCCGTTTGGGAGGAGCGCGGCGGCGCCCAGATTTGGGGCCCGCCATGCCCCGCCCCGCGCAGCCCCTCATCGCGCGGCTCCTCTCCGCCCAACTTCTTCACTTTTTCGCCATAATGCAGACATGAAACGATTCATTACGCCACCGCGCTATTGGGCCTTTCTCACGCGATAAAAGGCGTGCTGCCTTTACGAGGCGGGCCAAATACGGCGCGGGCTTTAGCAACGGCGCGTGCGTGCGTGTGTGTGTGTGTGTGTGTGTGTGTGTGTGTGTGTGTGTGTGTGTGTGTGTGTGTGTAGCGCAGCGGAGTGGGCGACGAGTGAACGAGACACGACCGACACTACTATACGGCGGAAAACCGGTTTCGTCAAACAAAAGCCCCGCTGCTGCCGATGTGCCGCCGCTGATTCTAATTCTGTGATTCCTCGCACAAGCCAGAAACAACACACACACACACACACACACCAACGCAAAAAAAAACCTCGTAGGAGCCAGCCGCCAGCCGCGTGCTGAAAAACATTTGAAAGTAGGGAATTTCTCTCGCAGCCCCCGAGGTGGGAGCGGACGGCTCTACACGGCCTGCCGTCAGCGTGGCGCGGCGGACATGGCGTGGCATGCAAAATTCGGGGCCGGGTCGGCGGCGTGTCGTTGGGTCGGGTCGGGTCGGGTCGCGGGCGCGAGCGAGACGGCGAATGGTTCCAACGCAGCGCTGTGCGCACCTCGTAACTTGCGGGAAAATACGAGCGCGGCGGCGCGGCCCCGGCGCGAGGCTACCAGCTACCTGCTTACTTCGTACCGCAGCGTAGTAAATAACTCTTTATCGGACCGTTTCAGCTCGAATATTTTCGACTCGAAATAATCACGCCGACACGTGTGCCCCCGCCACGCCCCGCCGCCGCGGCCCTCCCGACTATTTGTTAGATCCGCCCCCGATAGGCGGCGCTGTCGGCGTCGTCGTCTGCTCGCGACAAATCACGCCCGAATTTCCCGCGGCGTTTATTGCTCTCGTCGTTTAGGCTGACCCCGCCGCTGTAGCAGTGTAGCGGCCAGGCCGGGAAAGTGACCGCGCTTGTACCGCCGCGACAGGCCGGGGTGTGTTCGTGTCCGAAGTGGCTGTGGGTGTGTGCGTATCCGCGAATTTGCGTGTGGCCTGCGGAAACGGCGCAATTCTTTTTCACCTTGGCGCGCGTGCCGGCCGCGCCGGCCGTGCCGTTCGAGCCTGGCTTCGGCCCCTTCGGGTGGCGGTCGGCCCCTTCGGGTGGCGTTCGGCCCCTTCGGGTGGCGTTCGTGTCGGGCCGTTTGGATTCCCGGCGGGCCGCGCGAGAAGGGCGGCCCGGTGCGGCCAGCACGGCCAGCAGCGAGCAGGGAGGGCGTGCATGACCAACGGCAATATTGTGAGTTACAAAATCGCGAGCGAAAAAAATGGCAGTTTGTGGGTGCGTGTGTGTGAGAATGAAGGCAAGCCGGCGGGCTAGACGCGGCGCGCTAGACGCGGCGGGAGCCGACCTTTTTATTATGCTTCGAGCAGCGCATCCTACGGCCGCGAACTGGCCGCGCGCAGCCTGGCCCGGCCGCCTGGCCCCCCGCGACCCAAAGCAGCTGTGTGCTCACTCCACTGAGACGGCGCAGCGGCGCGGCGTGCTTCTTCTAGGTCGCGGTTCCGAGGAATAATAATTCAGATAAGCCGAAACAAGGAGAGAAGATCAAGATCCGCTGAGTTGCGAGTGTCTAAATTCGGGCCGGTCTTGGACCAAAGTGATTCGACAAGAAAACAGACGGCGGCTTTGCGCCACCTGAGAGCAGAGAGCCCCCCGACGGTCGCTTCGGGCCACTTTCATAAGCGGACCGTGTGTGTTTTGTTTGTATGTGTGTGTGTATGTGTGTGTCCCGGGCGGGCCGTGCGCGGGCCGTGCGACATTCATGAGAACGATGTGGCGTCCTTTGCGGGGGGTCCCGCCAGGCCCCGAGCAGCCGGCCCCGGAGCACGGCGGCGCTCGGCGAGGCTAAGCGCGCGCGGGGCCCGTCAGGTGTGCCAGAGGGCGGCACTGGCGGGCCCGCGGGCCCGGCCCGGGCGGACCCTCACAACAACCGAGGATGCGCTTTTCGCAAATCTTATTTGTCGGTTTCCGGCCCACTGCACTCTCACACACAGCGCGTGCCGCACACACACCCACACACTGCGATGAGCACATTGTGCGGGCACCACACAATTGGCAAAGCGGCGGGCCGCAGGGCTTAACTTTCCAGATTAGCGCGCCAACGAAACGGGGCCCATCTGCCGCCAGCCGCGTTTGCATGCATGTGTGCATGTGTGTGTGAGCGCGTTTTACGGCGCGCCAACTACACCGCGCCGCGAGTCGCGAACAACGGGGCGCCGCACAGACACTCACCTGGCTATGTGGAGATCCTCGGAAGGCCAGCTGGGACATGGTGTGGGGGCGGCCCACATATGATTGGACTTGTTCTCAGCGCGGCTCGGCGTGGACGGTCATGGCGGCGGCCGGGGCGGCGGCCAGGGCGGCGACGGCCAGGCCGGGGGTCACCACCGGGGGGTCACCACCGGGCCCTCTTGCCCATGGCGAGCACTTAGTTAATTGCTGCGCGTCATGTTTGTCCACTCGAAGCTCCTATCGCACCTATCTGGAACAGACAAGGTGGGGGGCCCACAGGAGTGAGGAGTAAATTTTTGTGTCGTGTACACAAGGCGGCCGATAAGCCCGCGGCGCGGCGCCTTAACACAGCCGCGAAACAGGACTAATGGAGAGAGAGAGGGAGAACCCGTCGAGTACCCGGTGTGTTTGCACCCGATAGCGACCGGCGCCGCTATTCCGGAATATTGCCCGAAAAGGGGCGGCCGTTTTATCAAATAAAACGAGGCGTGCCAAAACGAGGGGAGGACACGGTTTGAACTTTAAACCGGAGATGGGGCCGGCGATAGACGGGTACACCTTGTTTCGGACGCGTGATACCATCGCCTCGATTTGTCCCGCCGCTGTCATCGTCCGTTTTCTTCTACGGAATATAATTATCGTTGAGGCCGGGGCCGTCGCCGGGGCCGTGGCGCTGCCGAGTGCCGGGCATCTTGATCGACCGGGATGAGGACGGTGCCGGGACGGTCGTGGCCTCGGCGGAGTGGTGCAGCAGGCCGATGTCGCGGGCACCATGTCCCGGGGCCATGTCGCGGGGCCGGCCGGACCAACAAGTTGGCCGCAAGAAGCACCGAGTCTGTCACCGCGCCGCCACGAGCAGGCGCGGGCTGTCGTTTCACGAATACGGATGGGGACAAGGAAAAGCCGGGGGTTGTCTATTTACTGCCCACTGAATTGGTAAACTAGACGCAACATTTTGAAAAAGAGACCGACCCGGCGCACGGACGAATAAACTTAGCCGACCCCGGCTGTCACCCGCCGGCACCTCGGCCATTTGACAAATTCCGCCCTCTTATTTTATCAATAATTTTAGAAGCAATGTTTATATACGTGACACGGTTGTCAGGTAAAACCGGCACCGGGCTGTTGAGCACACCTCAAGGCAGCGTCCGGTTTCGAAAGGGACATGGGACCGTGTGTTTAGCGGCCCAACACCGCGATGTCACCTTGACGCCGAAATGCTTTGCCGCCGCCTGTAGTCGCATGGACAACTAGTGTCACCCAGCGTGTCTATTTCACTCCATTCGCTGTCCCAATTGAAAAGCCTCCTCATCCGGACTGCTCACAGTCTGAAGACAATTCTTCTTACCAACTGGAAACAGTTTTGTGCATTACCAAATCTGCTGACAAAATTGTAATCAGCCGGAAATAAATTTGACACCAGCTGGGTCCAATTTTGTCACCCGATTTAGTAACGTAATATTGTTCCCAGTCGGTGACTGAAATTGTCCATAGATGTGTGCCATGGACACAATCGCCATGGACGGCGGACGCTGTGGCGTGTCCGGACAACACGCGATCCTGTAGCGTCGCTCGGATTCGCCGACCGGCAGTATGTTCAATTAAGGGACGAATGGAGCGCCTGACACGCCGCACTGGCGTTGCTGGCGTCGGTACACGTGTCGCAGCGTCGCGGCCCTCGGCCAAACATTCGCCATGGACTCACCTCAAGCGTAAGGCCGGGTCACTGCGGCCGAAGAATATCCAGAATCGAGTACATCCAGCACGGAGGGTATCCACAGAGATCACAACCACTGCACTGGCCTTTCGCTGATGCACTTAAACTGCACTTCACAAACACACGCACGCACTGTCACCACGTCTTGCTGCACACTGTCACACACGAGAAGTAGTCCTTGTTGCTGCGGCCACACACATACACACACACGCGCACACTCGCGGCAACGCGCGTTGAGGTTAGGTTGTCAGACGCGGCGCGGCCCGGCTCGGCGCTGCTGCGCTGATGCGCGCTGCTCGGCGCGCACGGACGGGTCGGGGAGGGCCTGGGACGGCCTCGATGCCTGACTGCTACTGCTCGCCAGCCTCGCCTGCCTCGCCTCCGCTTGCTTCGCCTCGGCGTCGCGCGGGGCAGCACGGGCAGCGCGGGCCCCGACCCCCCCTCGCTAGTCAACACTCATTCGTCCGACGACGAAAAAAGAGGAGGAGGAGGAGGAGGAAAAGAATAGTGAATGATGTAGATTAAACCAAGAAGGCGGCGGTGGCGGTGGAGGCAGTGCCGGTGGTGGGGGAAGGCGGCCGGGTGGGGGAAGCCGGCTCGCCGGCGCGGGGGAGGGAGGGGGATGGTGGTGGGGCGACGGCCGCGGGAGGGCCGCGGGAGGGGAGGGGGAGGCTAGGACTAACCGCAGGGGGTACCTACTCGCCGCACCGGGAATCCCGGAAGGGGAGGGGGAGGGGGGCGCCAGGGAAGTGCCGGCTGGACTGGCTGGCAGTACGGGGTACCGCATGCTGCTGAGTGAGGCGCCGGCAACCGCGCCGGCCGGCCGAGAGCACGCTGGCAGCGCACGCCCGCGCAGGCCGCACGCTGCGCACGCACGCACGGAATGGCGTGCACCCCCACCACGCGGGCCGGAAAAAAGGGGAAAAGAAAACGCGGACAGAGATAATAAGCAGGGACAAGACAGAGGGGAGAGAGATGGAGAGAGAGGGGGGAGCGCAGCGCGGTCGCTGCCAGAGCCAAGGGCTTGCTTCGGGGAGATTGAGACACGGTGGCCAGGTCCAGCCAGTCCGGCCCGGCCGCACAAACACTGCCAGCAGTGTGCCAGCAGCCTGCCAGGGGCAGCACCGCGCTGGCTGTGTTATGCATGAGTGTGAGTGAGCGCAAATTTCAGAAACATGAGCTAACTCCGAGGCGGGCGAGACCATGGCCTTTTGCGGTCGGTCCGGGCGGTGGCCGGGGCGTGTGGCGTGGCGCGGCGTGGCGGCTGGTCCAGACCGCCCAAACGCTCCTCTCAGCTGTGTACTTGAGGTCCACTAGCACGGTCGGGCCGGCGTGGCGGAGCGCAGTGCCAGAGTTGTAAACTGTTGAGTTTAACACGGGTTGGGCTGACCCGCGTACTTGTCAGTCAGCGATGTAGTGCAGCTCTCGGCTTGCCAGCAGGCAGTGCAGGCACTCACGCAGGCTGTGTCGGGTTGCCTGCCTCCTTCGGCCATGCCGCTCCAAGTGTCCAGGACAAGACGCGGCGTTGCGTTTTGATATCGATTGAGAACCGCGTCTCCGCGCGTCGACTTGCGCGCACTGCCGCACGGCCGCTTGGCCGGCCGCTCTCACGAAGCGTGTAACTTGAAGACAGTGCTACGGGGACTGCTCGGCCAAGAAATACGAGCCGAAACTCGGCCACGCAGACGCCACCAGACACAAATCACCCGACGGGCCGCGCAAGAATAAATTAATTTCGTTACTCTGAACACACTCCGGTGCACCATTATCATTATTTATCATCAACACTCGCACACACCAACACGCACACACACGCACGCACCGTCATCACTTCTTATTTTACTTCCTTTCCGTTGTTTCCCTCTCCGCGTGACGCCGCCGCGCCACTGGGCCACTAATGAGAGCGACGGAGACAGAAGATGATGCGCGCTCTCTCGGCCCGCCGCCCTGTCCGGCCTTATTGGCCTTAAATAAAGAAGAGCTTGAATGGAGACTCAACACCTCTCGCTGCGAGCCAGCCGGCTGGCTCGACAGACGGACAGACAGGCAGGCAGACAGACGGTCAGAAGGATACACGGGGCCCAACAGCACAGGCGCCACGCTGCGCCACGCCGTTCCACGCCCACTCCGGCAATGAATGAATGTGTGAATGGAACGAGTCGTGTGCACGAGTGTGTGTGCGTGTGTGTGTGTGCGTGTCACGACGAACAGCGACGGTTTTGGCACGTACAACACGCGGAGCCCAACACAGTGGATCTTTATTCCTGCCATCGGTCACGCCGCGTTTGTATCCAAATGTAGGAGTTCGTGCCGTCCATGTAAATTGACAATTTTATTGCTACGTCACACAGCAGCATTGAAAAAAGCTCGGACATCGCTGCGAGCTCTCTGCGAGTCGAAAAAGGCGTTCGGTGAAATCTGGACGTGAACCCCGCGGGAGCCATGTGTGGAGAAAGGTTTTCGACGAGATTTCGCGGAAAGAAAAGTCCCTGGTGTCGCCCGCGACGCTCGCGTGTCGTAGAATGTAGCGGCAGTAAAGGGAAGGGGAAGGGGAAGCGGGGTCAAGCCACGATATTGCACAAGTCTTACCAGAAAGGCCGCTGTTTTTGTGTGTTGTTTTGTGCCATTCTCTGCGACTCGGCGCGGCGCCTGCGGAAGAACGCGGGTAAAAGAAGGCCTGGAGAAAGGGGCTGGAGGACAAGCTACCGGCAACACAGCGATCCCCGGCGTGTATCTTTCCGTGACTCGTTCGTTTCACACTCGATTCTGCTCACCGCTTACTTGCTTGTTCTCTCGCTGCCTCTTCTCCTCCTTCCTGTCCTCAAACCGCACCGTTCGCTTCCTCCCGCGGGCCCCTCTTTCGCGCTCCCTCCCCGCGCGGGCCGAGCGGGGCGCGAGCGGGGCCGTAGGGGAAGTAAGGCGTGCCCCGCCCAGAGCACACAGCGCAGAGCGCGCGCGCCGCCGGGGAGTTCGGGAGGGGGCAGTACGGGTGCTGAGCCCCCCCACTTCGCCCCCACCACCGGACGGCAGCCTCATCCGGCCGCTTGCACGCCGGCCGCCGCGCGGAACTAGCGCACTCTGTCGGCGCCCGGCCGCGCGCTGCCGCCCGCTCCCCCCACCACGCCAGCGCGCGCGCGGCCAGGCGCGCCGCTTCCCCTCCAGCGCGCAGGCCCGGGCCGGCGCGAGGCGCGACTGCCATTGGTCGCGGCCCCGGCCCCGCCCGCGCTGGTGGGCCGCCGGCGCGGCCTGGCCAATGGGCGCGCGGCCCGGCGCGCCAGGAGGGGGGCGTAGTAACGCGGCGGCGGCAGACAGCCTCTCCGATTGATTTGATCGCGCGTCGCGGTGCCGAGACGTCGTCGCGGCGCCGGTGCTTCCCTCGGCGCTCTGCACTGGGAGTGCTCCAGACACCGACGCCGGCAGTGATGTGATTCGGCCGTGGTGTCGATGGTGCAGTGTGGTTGCTTTCTCTGGTTTGTTTCCCATCGATGTCGCGTCTGTGTTACCAACTCGTGGCCAATGGTTTGCACTGCCGGTCGCTACTGTTGTGATCATTTCAAAGTAACGGGGATGACCTTCGAATTAAAAACATGTTTCTGGATAAAAGCCGCTCTCTCAACAGGTTTTGTGATAAGATTACACGCGATGCAGTCTTCTTTCTATTAACAACTTCTTTTATTCATATTTTACGGATCGTTTTGTGCTGCCGTTCTCATTCTACTGTCGGCGGAGGTAGTCTCGTTTTGTTAGAATAAAAACCATCGCAATGCGAAAAAGTAAATTGCAAGTTGATTTAAGGCTGTCTGTATTTTTCAGATAACCGTGGTCAAAATGAATGGAGAACGCGCAGCTTACATTTATGTGCATAGCCCATGATCAAACCTGAAAAAAAATAACTTGGCATAGCCCATAATCGGACATAAAAAATAAATTTTTAGTCAAGTATTTTTTTGGTTGTAGCCAATTTTCCTCGGTCATAAACCTGAAGAAACCTCTAAGCAGCGTCTGAGAGTTGCTTGGCGGTGATATTGCACGCTGATCGCGTACGTTTGGATGTGAATCGAGGCCTTGTCCGTTAGTAATCAATTCCCTTTTTTTATTCATTCTTTTAAATGTGACAAATGATTGAAATAAAAGTGACACAATCTATGTTCAAATAAACGTAACGGTTTTTTTTTTAAATAATAAAAATGTTGGAATCGATCTTAGTGAATAGAAATTACAACTGAAAGAAACCAAAAGCAAACAGACTAAATAAATCTAGTGACTCCACCCCTGTTTGAATCGCCTTTTACACGGCGATTAGGTGACTTTGATTCGTCTTATCGGGCGCTACGCGGCGCTACGCAAGCAAGGGGCGGCCCGGAGTTCCCCCTCGGAGAGGGCCTCCTAATGGGATGATATACGGCCGCCCTTGGCCGCCCTATCCCTCTGCTCCCCCACCGGCCCTTAGCAGCGTGCTTCAGAACCCACTCACGCGGCCGAAAAGATTCCCAACACAAACAAAGGGTCGATAAAACAGAAAACGGGAAGAAACACACGACACGTCAGTCTGGTTTGCACAATCTGCTGCGAAGGCTACTGTCCGGCCTTCTCGCAACGGACACACTAAGGCCACACACCACTTTGCTCTGCGGGCACCACCGGTCGTCCGACAGCCACCCTCCTTGTCCGTGTGTGTGTGTGTGTGTGACGCCGACACTGGCAGTAGGCGCGACGCCAGCGCCCCCGCGGCCGGCCGGGCTAACTACCCTGACGCGCAATCGCACACCGCGCCACCCTCACGACGCTCCGCGACTGTCCTCGCGGTTCCTCCTCTTCCTCTTCGCGCCGCACCGCGCCTTTGTGGTGCGACTGTGCGACCCCCACCGGGCCGGGCCGCCGCCGCCGCCGCCTCCCTCCCCTCGCGCCACGTCCTCGCCGCCTCCGCCTCGCCGCCTCACCGCCCCCTCCACCCAGCCGCGCCGCCCCACCACCGCGCCGCCCCTCCCGCCCCCCTCCCCTCCGCGCCGCCCACCCCTCCCGCCGTGCCCTCGCTGCAGCTGCGGTCGCCACAATTAAAATGGGGAAAAATCCAGTAGATGTCTCCACGGTGCGGGCGCGGTGCCGGGTAGGTGGCGCTCCCTGGCGGCGCGGCGCGGAACCGGCTCGGCGGCCTCACCTGGCGACACGCACGGCACCGCGCGGCCACGCCACGCCACGCCAGTCGCGTGACGGCGGCGGCGCGTCGCGACGCACGCCCTCGAGGCCTTCAAGGCCCTGAACCGCGGCGCAGCGCGGCGACGCGCCAGTGTAGCGCCGCCAATTTTTGCGGCGACGCTGCGAGCTGCAGATCGGCGCTGC